GCTCGGGGGGTGGTTCTGTGGTTTTTATTTTTTTTTATTAATAATGGGAAAACCCACATGGAAAAATAATAAAAGCCATGTTGTTACAGCTCGGTGATCATCGGTTTACTCGGAAAAAGGCTTTTTTGGCACGTGCTCACCCGTGGCGTTGAGCCACGCTGGTCTCAGCCAGGCTGTGGGGAGGAGCACGGGGGGTACCAGCCCAGAGACCCCAGCAGTGAGGGGGTCAAACCACCAGCGATCCCAGTAGCCCCTCTCAGCCGGTTCTCCAAGCTGTGGAAATAAGAGAGATCGTTATGGTTGGAAATGGGCTTTTCCAGGAGAATATGAGTTTATTCCCACTGCAGCTCCACCATCAACCATCCGGGGTCCAGGCACGCTGCATGCCAGCGAGAGCCACTGTCCCACCACCAGTGCCAGCGGGTGCTCTCTGCCAAAGCATCAGCTGATGGTGCGCGGCCGAGCCGGGAATCAAGGTCACGAGCACGTTGCAACTGGGTTTGGGAGGGGAACCAGCCCCAAAGGGCGGAACTCGGACGTGGGGAACTGGGGCAAGAAGCACTGGGAAGGGCAAAGCCCAGGGCAAAGGGGCAGGCTGCCTCCAGCAACCCCTGAGCCCTCCTCCTGCTATGCCAACGGGCAAGCGCCAGCCCCGCTCTCACTGCCGTGGGAGCGTTTCGCCTCCCCCGGCCCGGCACAGCCGCCCTGCAGGGCCCAGCTGCTGCCAGCACTTCCTCCGTGGTCACAGACCCCGCGTGGCACAGCCCGGCCCTGTGCCACCCCTTCCCCCCTGACCTTCAGCTCCAGTTACAAGATTTATGCCCCAGTTGCTCGTTACCAGAAGGCATCAGGCTTCTCGTAGGGATCACGTCACCACACACCCCCTTCCCACCCCAGGGAACCTCTGAAGGCAGCCAGGACTTTCCAAAAAAACCCCTTTAATGCCAGTGACATCCCCTCCCATGCAGCCAGCCCTGTTCTTTCAGTGCCCAAGATGAAGTGGGGAGCGTGTCAAAGGAAAGACCCAGTACAAAGTACAACTGGAGCTGGGAGAGATTTATTTTCCATCACTTCCCAAGGCGGCAAACACACCACAGTTAATGTTTGCTTAAAATATCTCCGCTCCCCCAATTTGCTTCTTATCCTTCCGCTCCCAACGTTTGCAGACAAAGGGAGTGAGGCTGGGGGAGGGTTTGGACCAAAGCCCAGCAGCTCCGCACCGTTCCCAACTGGGAGGACGCAGCCCCATGGCAGGGCCCAGTAAGAACCACCCCACCTGCGGGGACGGGCAGGGAGAGCACGGCTGCGCAGCTCCACCTTCTGCAGGCAGCTGGACAGGGGGTGATGCCATGCAGGTGCTGCCCAGGGGAGCCCCCGCGTGCTGGCAGCTCACCCGGGCAAACATGGGGCCACGGGATGGGCGAGGTGCTGACGAGGGGTGGAATTCGACAGTTTTGGCACGAGTGCCCAACGGTGGGAGAAACCTGAAGTGACAAAGGACAACTCGTACCAAAATCAACACCCGTAGCCCCACACACCGGGCATCACTGGCGGGAGAAGGAAGCTCCACGTCACCGCGGTTCGCAGTGCCGGTGCCCCTGCCCACCTGCCAGCTCAATCCCGGGGCTGCTTCTTATGCTTCTTCTTCTTCTTCTTCTTAGCTTTGCTGGGCTTCCCCGAACGCTTGGTCCTCTTGCTGGCTGGCTGAGCCCCGTTGCTGTCCGAGTCGGAGCTGTCCGAGTCCGACTCGGAGGATTGCTTATTCCTGTGCTTCTTTTTCTTCTTCTTCTCCTAGTGGATGAAGGAAAACAAACACACACCCTTGCACGTGGGGAAATTGTCACTGGTGCTCACCAGGGCAGTAAGGCACTTTCTGTAGTGAGTGCCTCACAAGCTGTGCCAGGGGCAAGGCTTTTCCCACACGGAAGGTGCATGCAGCATCCAGTGAGTCAGGATTTAACCCCGCTGTCAGTCCACTGCTGCGCCGGGCAGGGTACCGCTGCCATCGAGGCAGGGATCAAAATGGAAATCCAGGCCTGAAAACTGCTCAGTCCAACCCACAAAAGAGTCTTTGCCACCCTGCCCGGTCAGAGCCCACTCCGTTATTTAAGGCTGTTCTTTATTAATAAAGGTTGGCAGGGTGGAGCTTTTTTGCCAAGGAAGCGAGCTGCCAGAATAGTCCAGCTGGATGCGAGCGCCATCCCCACCTCCCCACACCACCCACAGCCACAGACTGCCAGGAAATGAGCACGGATGCACTGGAGCACTGATGACAACACACCCTTCTGCGTGCCCAAGAAATGCCCATGGGTTTGGCCAGGATGAGGCAAGTGCCCTTTTGCAAGCCCCGGCGCTTTGCGCAACCTCCCAGGAGAGACTGCACCCCTCCTGCTCCTGCCTCCGAGCACACGGACTGCATCCCTCCTGCTCCCACCTCCCAGCAGGGACTGCACCCTCCTGCTCCCACCTCCCAGCAGGGACTGCACCCTCCTGCTCCCACCTCCCAGCAGGGACTGCACCCCTCCTGCTCCCACCTCCAAGCACACAGACTGCACCCCTTCTGCTCCCACCTCCCAGCAGGGACTGCACCCCCCTGCTCCCACCTCCCAGCAGGGACTGCACCGCTCCCACCTCCGAGCACACGACTGCACCCCTCTTGCTCTCTCAGCGTCCCCTCCTCTCCCCTGGCACCCAGGCAGAGCCCAGGGGCAGCACTTGGCCCCCCAGGGCTGCGTTTCTGCCAAGCCCTGAAGCAACAGCTATGCAGAGCTCAAGACCTGACGTTTAGCTGCAGAATTAGAACAGCTGGTGCTGGAATAAAGCCCGTGAGGAACTCTAAAAGGGATCTAAACCCTCAATTTCAAGGCATCTGACAGGTGCCAATCAGAGATTACTCTGAGATCAGTACCGCAGCACACCTTCCCCTGGAATCGAATCGGGCAGAGCATCCCAAAGCAGATAAAGACTATTTAACCCCTCTGCTCTGCTCTCGTGAGACGCCCCCTGGAATACTGCATTCAGCTCTGGACTCTGGAGTCCCCAACACAAGAAGGACATGGAGCTGTTGGGGTAGGTCCAGAGGAGGCCACAGAGGTGCTGCGAGGGCTGGAGCACTTCTGCTATGGAACCAGGCTGAGAGAGTTGGGGCTGTTCAGCCTGGAGAAGAGAAGGCTCTGGGGAGACCTTCCAGCACCTTCCAGTACCTAAAGGGGCTACAGGAAAGCTGGAGAGGGGCTTTGGACAAGGGTGTGGAGTGACAGGACAAGGGGCAATGGCTTTGAACTGAAAGAGGGGAGATTTCGATGGGATATAAGGAAGAAATTCTTCCCTCTGAGGGTGGTGAGGCACTGGACCAGGTTGCCCAGAGAAGCTGTGGCTGGCCCGCCCCCGGAAGCGTTCAAAGCCAGGCTGGATGAGACTTGGAGCAAACTGGTGTAGTGGAGGGTGTCCCTGCCCATGGCAGGGGGTTTGGAACTGAACGATCTTTGAGGTCCCTTCCAACCCAAACTGTTCCATGATTCTAATGCTGCAGTACAGCAATTTGCATATAATTAATTAGGAAGCGGTACTGAGGGAGAGGATCTGACCTGCCCGTGCTGGCAGCCTGCACTGCCCAGCTGCTGGCCCTGCTCTGCCCGTTGCTTCACCCCCCTTCCAGCACGCAGCGGGAGGAGAAGTGCTGACCGCAGCTCTCGGGAGCTGGCCGTGCCCTCCGAGCACCTCGGCGAACCGCTGCCCTGCAGCAGGGTGGGCAGCCAGCGCCAAGCCAAGCGGTGCTGATGCCAGGAACACAAATGGCTCAGAAGGCATCAGCTGGCACGGTGAGCTTCGGTGCACAAAGAAACATCCCAGTCCGATCCCAGCACGACTCACCTTTCTAATTCCCTGAATACCTGCAAAACCAGTGTAGATCAGCTCTCAGAACAAGGAGGAAGATACAGGTTTTCAGGTATATTTCAGGAAGATGTTTTGAAAAAGAAATTATTGTACTGCAAAAATGAGGGATTTTTCCTAATGGCCCTTGGTTCTTGCAAGTAAAGGAAAGCAGCAAGCAGGTGAGTGGGCCCATGAAAAAAAACTCATTTTACTATTTTGCACATGCTGAGTAGAAAGCACTTCGAGATTGCTCAGACCAGTACGGGCTCCAGGTTCCCGTGGAAGCCCAGTGACAGCGGTCCCCGGGGAGCATCCACTGGTCTCACCCACGGTCACCCCCGCACCAAAGGGAGGCCTTTCTGTGGAAATGGCTGTCGGGAACTTCCACTCTAGTCGAGGGCACAAGGAAAGAAGCAAACGAGGGTTTCACGAAGCAGAGACTGGCCAGTGAGGCGCCCCGAGCCCGAGCGGCTGGCGCTTACACTTAAACTTGCTGCAAACCAGCAGCCTGTTCTCTTCCATTATTTAACTGTGCAGCCAGGTACCAGTGATACACGCACCAGTGCTGCACCAGATGAGCTTTTATCTCCTCATCACAGCCCAACTCCTTTCCCCTGCGCACACTTTATCTTTACTGGATGCATCTCCTGCAGACTGGTGTCACCTTGGGTTTGTAGGAACATGTTTTGCAGCTGAGATGGCACAGCAGCGTCGCAGCTGGGGTCAAAGAGAAGTTGTGGCTGCCCCATCCCTGGAAGTGTTCAAGGCCAGGCTGGATGAGGCTTTGAGTAACCTGGTGTAGTGGAGGGTGTCCCTGCCCATGGCAGGGGGGTTGGAACTGAATGACCTTTGAGGTCCCTTCCAACCCAAACCAGTCTGTGATTCTATGAAACATAACACATAAATGTGTTTTACATTCCACCATGGAAGGGAGTGTAATGGGAGAAGCCTGGAGCCCCCAAGTCAATAGATCCACTCATTTTCCTCGCCAAGAGCATCCCAAATGACCTCAAGGCCATCCCTGGGCTTGCAGGCAGTTTTACTGGGAGAGGTTTGCTGTATGTCACTCCTGCCTTGGCAGGGCTCTCAGTGCCATGCACTCATTTCACAAGGAAGCAGAAGGAAGGAGCAAGCCCACGGGCACGGTTGTGCCAGTCACACGACTACAGGCAGGACGAGACCTCGGGGAGCCCGCCCTCCTTGGCCGGCTGCTGCGGAATTCCACAGCCACCCGAGAAGCTAAGCCAAGGGAGAGAAAATGAACACGACTAGATGAAAGAAACGGCGGCAGTCAGTCACAGACACGAGATCCCTGGTGTGGGGAAGTATTCCCACCTGCTCCAACCCAGCCAGAGGCTGCTGGGGCTGGATATGAGAACTGAAGGTCTGAACCCAGCGCTGCCACCACTTTTGTGGGTTCAGCCCGAGTTACTCCTGCAGTAACTTTTACGCCCCAACTCTGCATCGCCTGCTGCAGGCTCGGAGGGGGCTTGGGGGGCCCACTACATTCAGGTACGTGGTCACGGCCAGGGCACAGGGTTGCTGGTGGCCCTCCAGTGTCACCCACAGCTTCCCCCTGAAGGGCAAATTGTCTTAAAATTGCTTGGGGAAAAAGAAACATCCCAGTGCGAAGAGCGCAGAGCAGGCTGGGCTCCCCCCTGCTCCCCACAAGACATTTCCTCCATTAGCTCCAGCCGCTTCCAGACGAGTGCAGTTTCCAGATGAAGATTAATGTCCTGGCTTACGGGAAGACAAGCCAAGGCCGCCTAAGTTTCCTTCCCAACATATTCTCCCGTAAGCATTACGGAGACACAACAGGCCCAGCTAAAGACATCAATTTAGCATGGATTGTGTGTCACAGCACCGGATCCAGGCTATCCATTAGGGACAACAAAGGAAGGGAGCTAGCAGCTTATTTAATGGGAAGCAGAACAACTCTTTTCGGGAGGTGGAAGAGCAAAGATGACGCGTGGCTTGGAGCTGAACATCAAGCAGAGAGCCCTCTGGGACTCCAGGGAAGTGAGCAGAGGACTGAGTTCACACCTAGCAGATCCTTGGCAGGTAGCAGTTTTTGGTAGCTCCGTAATAGCACTATGATCATTGATGTCACCTAAAATTTGACAGTTGAAATTTTTCTGTGTGACAATACCAGACTCCTTACAGAGTCCCCTACCCACCGACAAAGGCCAGAAGGCAAATCCTAACAGTCTTTAGAAGAGGATGGTAAAGAGTTAAATCTTCTAGAGAAAGGGATGCAGCAAGGAGAATTTTCTCAAGCTTTTCCAGCCTGTGCACATGGTGAGAAAGTTTGACAAGACCTTAACAACTACCAGAGTTCCATTCCAGAGCTTGGGAAACTTTCTCAGCACGTGAAGGCTGAAGACAGGACAGGATGTCACACCAGTCCCTTCAGGACTGCAGGGGAAATAAAAGCACACACGTGGACATTGTGCTGGCTGGGAAAAAAAAAACAACAAAACAAACCCACACACTCCTCAGTCTCCCCTTTTTGGGGGTTTCCAACAGCCCAACTGCTCCCACTGACACACAGAAAGTGTTCCCAGTGCAGTACTGCAAGCACCCCAGCATAAGCACAGGCCGGAGTGCAAATGCTGCAGGGAGCAAGCCGGCGGCAGAAGAGCTCCATGTTTTCTGTAGCAGGAGGCAGCGCTGCTGCAAAATCGTTCTGCACAACAGCAGTCTTCTATTAAACCACAGCTTTCCTTCAACTCCAGCATCCTGGTACTGGGAGACAAGTGCTCGCTGGCAACCCGTTGACTCAGTGTTGTGCAAGCGGGAGCGTTTTCCCAGTTTGCGTTTGGTGAGGGCAGTGCCAAAGCAAGGGCTGGATTTCTGCCTCGGGTGACACCAGCAAAGCCCTGCCGCACCCACAGCTTCAAACTGGGCTCCAGAACCCCCAGCTGAAGCTCAGCTCAGCTCTCAGGCACACCCAGGCACTCCCCCAGCACTGCAAACACCGTGTTTGCGTAAACATTTGAAGTGGATTTTGCCCAAGCAGGCTCCCAGTGGAAAGAGGCAGAGGGCAGACAAGTGTGAAGATCCGCACGTTCCAGTTCCTGCCACATCCTGCCCAATTTATTTAACAAGTGTACCAAAACAGAACAAACTTGCCTCGAAATCTCTCATCTACAAAACCCACGTTGGGAGCTGGCACGCAGAAGAGCAACAGGCTGGGCTACAGCCTGACAGTGCTGGTTCTGCTCCTGCTCCAGTTATTTTTAAAAAGCTGGCACTCGGGGGGCACCACATTAGCTCCCCAGGCTCTCTCCTGTCCTTTGCAAGAAAAGTTGCTCAGGGCTGTGCTTTAGGAATGTTACAACAGTTCATTTCTTCTGAAGGTATTTGATTTTGAGATAAGAGGGGAGTGTCCCGAACTCTCCAAGAAGTTTAAATAATTTTCACCAGGCTCTTTTCTGGTGTCACAGTTTCATTTGGAGACTTTACTGCTGTCCTTGTGAAAAATTAGAACGGATTTCCAGATATCTGTCTGCATCTCCAGAGCCATGCCAGTATTCCTTCTAGTTTTTTTTTTTAATTATTTAAAAGGGGGAGGAAAAAAAAGTGAAATTCTATCACCCAATTTAATTCCAAACAAGATTTTTTTATGTAAATCTAAAGGTATTATTGCATCCCTTGTTTGAGGACCAGTCAGAATTAATCTGATGAGAAGAACCCTGTCTATGGTCACGAAATAAATACAGCAATGTTCACGAGAGCACAGACCAGGACAATCGGTGTGAGCAGTGAGTGTGAACAGTGAATCAGTGAGAACAGCTCAGCGTGTGAAGAGCTGTGTCATAAGCTGATGCCATTTAAGAACCAGTAAAACAAGTACCAGCTACAAGTGAGGATGGACTAAGGCTTGAAGAACGATAGGGCACCGAACGAACAATTAAGGTGTGGTTTTTACATGAAGAGACAACATCTGCAAGCAGATTGCCTGGGAATCTTTTCCCCAGTGGGAGAAAAAGCAGCAGAGTCTGCCAAGAAGCCATCCCAGGTCACATTTGCTCTGCAATTCCATCGACTGTTGCAAAGCCACCCCTAGGGACAGGTAAGTCAATCAATGTATCCAAGCAGAGACAGGATGCTTTTGTAGAATTCAAATTTAAGGGTTACTCCCAGTGTCCAAAGAGCGGACCTCTTCTTCAAAGCCAGGCAGGAAAGAATGGGAAGGGTCCCTTTGTTCCCAGCACGCCTGCCTCCCACGCTGCCGCGTTCCCAGAGGAGCTCCTCCACCCCGTGACCCTGGGAGGAGAAGCCAAAGGGACACAGCCACGTGCCCCCCAGCTGCCGCCGACTCCTCGGATCATCTCCGGCACTTCCGCACGGCACCGCGTCGTCATCGTTTCCGCTTCCCTCTCTCAAGTCGCTGATATCCTCAGGGATGGTGGGAGGCAGGATGGGGCTCTCACAGGCAGAGTACTGGCACCACAGAGACTTGTGCCATCAGTCACACTGAAGCCTGGGCCACTGCGGAGACCTGAAGCGTCCAGTGGCCTCCTAATTCCATAAATGCTGTGGGGCTCAGGCACAAGAGTGAGGAACTGAGGAAATATTGGGAAGGCAAGCCAAGAAAAGGAGTGAGGACCCCAGAGTATCTCTCTAAGGAGAGCCAGAGGCTGCAAGGAAGCATCAGATCAAGGAAACAAAGTGTTGATCATGAAAAAACAAAAATGTTAATGCACGTGGATCGGGGCAATTCCAAGCACAAGTACAGGCTGGGTGGAGAATGGATGGAGAGCAGCCCTGAGGAGAAGGACTTGGGGGTGTTGGGTGATGAGAAGCTCAACATGAGCCGGAACCGTGCACTGGCACCAGAAAGCCAACCGTGTCCTGGGCTGCATCCAAAGCAGCGTGGGCAGCAGGTCGAGGGAGGGGATTCTGCCCCTTTGCTCTGCTCTCCTGAGACCCCCCTGCAGTGCTGCGTTCAGCTCTGGGGTCCCCAACATCAGAAGGACACGGAGCTGCTGGAGCGGGGCCAGAGGAGGCCACGGAGGCGATGTGAGGGCTGGAGCACCTCTGCTATGAAGACAGGCTGAGAGAGTTGGGGCTGTTCAGCCTGGAGAAGAGAAGGCTCCAGGGAGACCTTCCAGCCGCCTTCCAGTACCTAAAGGGGCTACAAGAAAACTGGAGAGGGGCTTTGGACAAGGGCATGCAGTCACAGGACAAGGGGCAATGGATTTAAACTGAAAGGGGAGATTTTGACGAGATCTAAGAAGAAATTCTTCCCTCTGAGGGTGGTGAGGCACAGGACCAGGTTGCCCAGAGAAGTTGTGGCTGCCCCATCCCTGGAAGTGTTCAAGGCCAGGCTGGATGAGGCTTTGAGCAACCTGGTGTAATGGGAGCTGTCTCTGCCCTTGGCAGGGGGGTTGGAACTGGATGATCTTTGAGTTCCCTTCCAACCCAAACCATTCCATGATTCTATGACTCTATTACTATGACACAAAATGGATGCTTGGTAGACATCCATCCTATCTACTCCTTAAAAATGTAAGCTCTGTGTTTATGTGACAAACATCAGATGGGACGGGGTCAGCAAGGCGATTGTTACGAGGTAAACTGAGCTGTTTCTACTTTGTGTAAATCCCCCTGGGGCTCTGGGCAAGCAAGGAAGCTCGTGGTGGCTCCCAGACAAGATCACAGCAGGCACTCGAGGCAACATGAGAGCTATTCATGTCGAGGAGCCCACATCCTGCCTCCAAAAAGCTCCAAGTTTTATTTTCCAGCACTGGAAAACAGCTGAAAACTTTTGATGTCCTTGAGAAGGAAGATCAAAGGAACAAGCGAGATTTAAAGGAAGGCTCTTCATCCACAGACTCCCAAAAAATTAGTAACAAACTCAAGACAGTGACCCACACATCCTGTAGTCTCAGCAGGGCAAGACTCCACAGGGACTCCCCATCCCAGTGGACGGGTACTGATGGGATAACGAGCTATTTGTGCACCTTGATGTAATTTTCCCCCCAGCATTTAAATAACAGTTACAGAGCCTTTACCAGACAAATCCCCGGCACTGCTAGAGGGAAGGGAACCCAAGGCAGGAGAAGCTGAGGTGCCTGCTCTCACACCACTCCACGGCAAGAGAATCCCAACGTCTGGAGTCTGGAAAGGTCAGAGTCCCAGTGAGCTGTTGGGAGACTCAGCTCAATCACACGGCACTGCGATCGGAACAGAAGGAAGAGCATGTGTATTTTCTGGCACAACGTAATGACACTCTGCAGACAAGACATTCTGGAATAAGAGCCGATGTAGCGGGAAGTAAAGCACATCTCGGATGGAACCGGGCAACAGGATCTACAGTCAAGAGAGATCTCGTTCCCATTACTGATCAGCTACCCAGAGTGCTGCCAGGCAAGCAAGAACTGCAAATCAGGCATCAAATTAACACCAACTTCGTTTTATGCTGAGTGTAGGGCACAGTCAGGCACACACAGGGCAGGGGCTGGCACACGGCAAGTCACAACACACTTGGCTCCTTCACTCCGGTGCAGTCACCACCTGCAATCCCACGAACAGCCCCAGCTACTCCTCTCTCAAACAAGAGTGTACCAAAGTGTCAGAAGCCACATTTCCAATGAAAAATGTGACTGGAAGCGAGAATTCAGCCACCAGGGTGGCCCTAGACTGGTCCAAGTGCTGCCATTGAAACAGACTCCTCCTTTCCCTGTTGCCACCATCTGCAGTCCCTCCTACTGGCACTACTACTGTGTAACTCCACAGTGAGCTTGAGAGAACTAAGCCCTCAGAAGTTAGCTCTCATCATGCAACTACTAACACCATCCTTGTCCCTCTCCTGTGAAAAGGAACCCACCACCGTTCCTGCCTGTTGCCCCTCTCCAGGGGTAAGGACAGGCCACGGGGTTGGAAAGAGAAAAGAAAAAACAGAAAGGAAAAAAAACAAAGGGCTTTGGAAGCACAACTAAAAGTTGGATTCCAGTTGAAGTCTAGAACTGGAACGTTCATTGCTGTCTAAACCAAGTGACCACCAGCCACTCCTGGTTTGGATTCAGGTCTCCCCTACGTTTAGTTCCAGCACGCTCCGAAGCCAGAGTTCAAACACGGGACATAAAAGGTCTCTCACCTCTTGACCTTCTCACACAGACAAGAGTTACTTTAGTGCCCAGAAACAGAGCACGCTCCCGGTGCAAATGCCACCAGCGACTTTCCCCTGGCACGGGCAGACAAGACGAGTCCACATGGCACTGGTGGGGGCAGGACAGGTGCTGAAGCAAGGGAAACAGAGCACGCTCCCTGTGCAAATGCCACCAGCGATTTTCCCCTGGCATGGGCAGATGAGTCCACATGGTACTGGTGGGGGCAGGACAGGTGCTGAAGCAAGGCAGGGGTGTTTCATTCGGGTTAAAGGTGTTAAGCCAAGAGGAGCGAGAAGGGAGAGGAAACAGGAATCACAGAAATTCAGGAAACTGAAACAATTTCTAGAGAGCCTCACAAAGACCAGGAGAAAAAATAACTACCCTTTCAGCCCTGTATGCAAGGACTTTTGAGGACTGTGTGTTACAGCATAAAACCATCTTAAAGAAAGTTTAGCAGGAATAAAGGCAGAAAGTATAAGAAATTCCTAACAAGTCTGCAGAGCAGATTCCTGCTTTGCTACAGAACCTGCCCAAAACCCAGCCACCTTCTCAGGCCAGAACCAGCTAATCGTAACCAAGGTGCCGTAGTAAGACACAGCTGTGCCTACACGGCACAGGTTATCTGGCCCACTTCTCCAGGCCAGCAGTAGGGCACCTCGTACCTTTTTCCTTTTTTTTGAAGAATCATCAGCCACGTTGCTCTTTTTATCTCTTTCACATCCTGCTGCTGCCACCTCTTCTTCCTCCTCTTCTGGAATGAGGCTGTATTTGGTACCTCCAGGCTGCATGAAACACTCCTTGGCAAAATGACCTACAAAATAGTGTTTGAAGTAGTAACTTATCCCCTTTTTTCAGATACCTGAAGTGCCACCAATGATCTTTTTATTATTAGTCACAATAAAAGAATCTACACTGTACACTTTTTGTCCTGGCATTTCAGCTAGTTCAGCATGTCCTGATTGAATAAGCCGGGGAGCAAACACAACCCAGGTCATCCTGGAAAGATCAGTCAAGCAAAAACTAACTAAGAGACTCTTGTCTGAACAGGGCAACTGGCACAAACGTGTCTGTGCAAGGGCTTAAACAGCATGAAAAAGGGTAAGTGAAAGGGAGAACCGGTGCCACAGGCACTTGGTAAATGAGATCAAAGCCACAAACACAGAGGACATCAGCTCATTCTGGTTCTACCCTTCCTGCCCTGGAGAAAAAAGCTGCCCTACTAACAGTTGTACTGGAAGCTGCAGATAGGCAGCACCTGCTTGCCCGTGCAGACATCACCATTAAAAACCAGACTGAGAATACACAGAACCCAGTTTCAGGTTTGGGGGGTTCTTTAAAGACAGTTATCTACCACTGCAGAGAACCATAGCTGTTACTAACCTTCTCCAGAACAGCACTGACTCCGCTGAGCTATTTCTCCTACGGCTGAACAATGCAAGCCAAGCAGGGCACAGCAAAAACTCCGCGTACAAACAACCACTTTACACCTCAGCAACCTGCCAAAAGCTACTGAAAAGGCATCACATAAGCCAACTTCCTATTGCTGAACTAGGCAAAAGGTAAAAATTTCACCAGATTAAAAAACCAAACATTTGTTTTCAGCTCAGAGACTGCTCTCACAAGCCAACACTGTGTTCCCAAAAACTGATCAGTAATTTCTGCTGATCATTCTTCATAATTAAAGATCACCCAGTTCCAACCCCCCTGCCATGGGCAGGGACACCTTCCACTACACCAGGTTGCCCAAAGCCTCATCCAACCTGGCCTTGAACACTTCCAGGAACGAGGCAGCCACAACTTCTCTGGGCAACCTGCTCCAATGCCTCACCACCCTCAGAAGGAAGAATTTCTTCCTTAGATCTCATCAAAATCTCCCCTCTTTCAGTTCAAAGCCATTGCCCTGTGTCCTGTCTCTCCACACCCTTGGACAAAGTCCCTCTCCAGCTTTCCTGTAGCCCCTTTAGGTACTGGCAGGCTGCTGGAAGGTCTCCCTGGAGCCTTCTCTTCTCCAGGCTGAACAGTCCCAACTCTCTCAGCCTGTCTCCAGAGCAGAGGTGTAATGACCTGGTGAAGGCAGATGTTTATTCCTTAGAACATGGAACTGGAATGAGACCTCAACTACAAGATACAGTAACACAAATGCTGCAAGAAGAATCTGTACTGGTCCTGTATGGAGTAGGAAGATTCTTTATGGGAAGCTCAAAGGGATACGATTTAAGAAACAAACCTTTACAAAAGGAGTTCAGCTAAGTCTTTTCTTTATGCAACACACGATAGAAAACGTCGTTCTCCTCTAAGAGAGACATGTGGAAGCAAAATTCAGTCCCTATACACACCCCATGAGACAGCCATGGATACAATCCTGTCTACAGGTCACTTTAGACCAAGTGTTCAGCAAAAGAACAAGACAGCCCTGCACGGACGTACCTTTGCAACCACACTTCTTGCACACGGTGTTCAGGACAGCTTCCAGCGTGATCTTCTGACTCGTGTAGTCTCTGAACGTGCGTTTCTTCCTCTCATCCTGACTGGAACGGGAAGCACAGTTCCACTTACAATCCACTCTCATTTTCAAACCTGTATGTTTCTGTGGACACCATCTATACACAAGTGTTTCCAAGTGTTGCTCTGAAAACATCACTTGATCAGATAAACCAGAGGAGGGAGCTGACTGACTGCTCGTTGGAATAAACCACATTTAACAGCACGTTACAGGTCACCACCCATGTTTGAGATCACCTCAGCCATCTCGACACGGAGCAGACAGCCACGAGGAGCTGCAGCTACATCCTTTATACCAGCATCTGTGTTTTGTGTGTGAATAAACACACACAGATGTACCTGCCCAGTATAAAACTAAAGCAATTTTATTTCACCTGCAAGAGATGTCACACACACAAAAAAAAAAAGATGTAGACAAAGAAGCTCTGAAACATCCAAGCAGTTAAGATTTGATTTTCTAGGGTGTGAAAGTGAGAAAAACGCCCAGTTGGAATGAGCAGAACTTCCAGCACTCAGCCATCACAAGGCAGGAATGGAAATCCTGCTGCGGTGTGAAGGGCTGGGACTCCCTGCAGCCCTCCAGGCAACACCCCAGGGGTGCCTGCAGTCAGCCCTGCAGCCAGCACGTCGCCGGGGTCCCAGGAAGAGCCCCCCACCCTCCAAAAGGAGGCAGACCTAGAGAATAAGGATGGCAGGAAAGCCAGGAATGCAAGGCAGGGAAAGGTAGGCAGCAACCTAATTTGTTACGTTCTGCTCAGCAGATTTACCTACTCAAGGGAAACATTGTTCGGGTCGAGGTCTTTTCCCGTGCCTTGGTTAACGACCTTCATGGAGAGGGAGAGTTTCAGTTTGTCATCCTTCATCTGAAAGAGGAAGACATGGAATGATAAATGATGTTAATCACTGCACTGGGTCTGGAGGCCTGCAGAGAAAGCAGGAAACTGTCAGATGGCAAAGGGCAGCACCACTACATGACAGTGCTTTTGCTGGATTGTTTCACAACTGCGTTTACACTAAATTTAGAGTACTCCAGCTCACAAACCAGCTTCTGTTAAGAGCTACCTCAGATAACGACAAGATCAAACCACAGGTCTGCTCAGGTCAATGTTCTGCTTTTGCCATGACCAAACCCAAGGGCACGTTTGGAAGCTTTGCTGTAATTCCCAAATTATCCACCTGCAAGGCAGTTCCCCTAGTCCAGCACTTTGGCCGACTTGCTTTCTGAAAAATCAAACTTGATCTCCTTTTTCCCATTTCAGCCTTCTGATGGGACTGAAAACGTTGTCAGTATCTGTCAGGGGTGTACTCTTCTCTGAATCCTAGTAAGTCCATGACTGCCACATCACCACTTCAGAAGCAAGAGTTCTATGTCTGGGGGTTTTTTGAGCCTTTCTTGCAACCTTGTGCATTTTCCCCAATGCTGCTGTTGAAAGTGTTCCTGGTTTGCCTGTTTCTGACATCCCTGCAGTTATCTGAAGGCAATCTGACAATGAACTCCTCTGCTGTCCACTCTCCGACACGCTTCTGCCCCTTTCCTCTACAGTAAAGAGCCCAGAAACCCAACTGTGCTCCAGATAAAGAAAACAGTGGCTTAATTCAAATTTTGTTAGTATAATTTAAAAAAAACCCACACACATCACAGATGGCTAAAAAGAACCTGTAGAGTCTTTCACATAGATTTCCTACACCATGTAAGACCAAGTTTCTCAACCCATCTCCCTTATCTCACACAAAACCAGGTCTTTGTTTTGTACATCAACCCGATTACCCTTCTTTAAAAAAAAAAAGCGTTTAAGGCCAAACCCTGTGCAACTTTGCACTGGAAGTTTCCACCTTGATCTCGACAAAATACAGTCAGCTTGCTTTGTTCCATGGCTCCCTAAAGCAAGAGTCTTTCGGTTTTCTTCCAACTAATCTTTAAATACAGGAGACAGGCTGAGAGAGTTGGGTCTGTTCAGCCTGGAGAAGAGAAGGCTCCGGGGAGACCTTCCAGCACCTCCCAGTACCTAAAGGGGCTACAAGAAAGCTGAAGAGGAACTTTGGACAAGGGCGTGGAGTGACAGGACATGGGGCAATGGCTTTGAACTGAAAGAGGGGAGATTTAGATTGGATCTAAGAAAAAAAATTTTCCCTCTGAGGGTGGTGAGGCACTGGACCAGGTTGCCCAGAGAAGTTGTGGCTGCCCCATCCCTGGAAGTGTTCAAGGCCAGGTTGGATGAGGTTTTGAGCAACCTGGTGTAGTGGAGGGTGTCCCTGCTCATGGCAGGGGGGGTGGAAGGGGGGGATCTTGAAGGGCTCTTTCAACCCAAACCATTCTGTGATTCTATAAGATACGCTGTTGTCGCATCTTCTGCAGAAAAAAAACAACGTAGACTGTAGGAAAAAAAAACAGGCAAACAAAAAGCCCCCATGTTTTATCTTGAATATAACTCAGTGCCACTGCCATCTTCCTGGAAAATGAACAAACAAAAAATCTCAGCTGCTTCTGAGAACGTGTCTGTCTGAAAACATTTCCTGAACTGTGTTTATACCAGCTCTTACCCGGGATGCTCCCAAATTGCCCACTGAGCCACCAAAGTGCCCATCCTGGACACGGCAGGCTGTGAAGGCGCACACAGGGCAAGGGAAGCTGCCTTTAAGCCAAAGGCTTTTCTCAAATGCTTTTTTTCTGAGCTGTGCCATGGCGAGTCCCACAAGGTTAGTGCCCAAAGCCACCCATGGAGGTGAAGAGAATTCACCAGTTTACACAACAGAGCCCATCAGGAACACACAGCCCCCGTGCACAGGTGTCCCCAGCTCACTGGTTTTGCAGCACGTTTTCTCTAAACAGCACTGAAGAAAACAACAATTCACATTACCTCCTTTCCAATCAGCTTCACCCACACTTTATCTCCAACATCCACCAACTCGGAGGGCTTATCCACGCGGCAGGAGGACATGTGAGTCTTATGAACGAGACCTGATCAGGGTTTTGGAGGAGAAAAAGGGAAAAAACAAAGAAAAGTTAATTACAGTTTTGTCCTCTGGGACAGTGGTCTCCAAAGCCTGGCGTATGCAAGACAATCCTTTGGGGTATGGGAAGAAAATATTTTTGTACCACTAACAAATAATTATTTTTTTTAAACAATAGTGCTTATTTCATTTTTAGCTCATCCTTTTTACCTTTCAGTATGATTTATAACATCAGGACAGTAGTACATGTACACAATTTACAAACACACACACATATTGGAGGTGCATGCTCCTGAGTTTAACTGAATTTAACTGATTTTACTCTGAGGCTGCACCATCAAAGCCATTTGGAGACCACTGCTCTGGGAGACAGGGCACATATTCAGCAGCTCCCCTAAGAAAAACTAACCATTTATTTCCTCCAGTGCGTTGTGCAGGTGAGAATCAACCAGCTGCATCAACTGGGCACCTAACAGCTCATGGAGATCTGCCCCAAACCAACTCCGAGAAGCAGGCAGCCAAAGCAATGGCTTTGTGTTCAAGAGACCAGGTGTCCACACAGAAAACTGTGGCAGGCACTGACACCTCTCCCTTCCTGCCTCTTCTCTGAGGCCACCCCGAGCACCAGAGAGCCCATTTCACACACCAGCAACACAACACTGTGCTGGCAAGTCAAAAGCATGAAGCACCAGGGCTGCCCTGACCTCCTGTCTCTGCCAGGTCACAGCCCCAGAACTGTAGGTTCAATTT